TGGCTGCCAGCGGCACTGGGCACAGCCACGCGTGCTGGCGCGCGCTGGCGCGCTGCTGAGGTGCCGCTGGGAATGATCGGGTTGTGAGCGTGCACTGGGGCGACGCTGGCACTAAACCTGAATGCTGCCCCGCGCTATGTGCGCGGGCACAGGCATTACCGACGTTGCTGGGCGCTACCGCGCGCCACAGCAGTCAATGGAATGCGCACACGCACGCGGGCGTGCACGGCAGCTGGATGGCGTGCCACTGGGCATCGCCAGCACTCTTACCGCGGACAGGCAGTACGCGACGCAGTACGGTGATACGGAAGTGGTCATCAACCCAGGCGAGTCCGACGAGGAAGAGGACGATGGTCTCGACATATGGCTGGAAAACATGCTGGAGGAGCCGACAAGTCCAATATACCGGCCATCATGCGTACGAGATTGGCCGAAAGGGTGTGGTCCACGGGCTAAGCTTAAGCCTAAGAAGCGCAAGACCAAACGAGCCCGAAGGAAACGCAAGGCAAAGGCTAAGAAACCCTACTGTTGGTGTAAGCCTTGCACAAGGAAGAGACGAGCACGAAAGAAGGAGGCTAGAAGGCGTGGTTTGCGATGGGTTGACAAAGGGTGGTGGATACCGGCGGAGGATTGCGAGGGGTTGAAAGGTTGGGATCCATGGCCCAAACCAACAGCGACGATCGCCGACGAGAAGGGCGACGGCGATCGGCTAAAGGGCGAATGGCGCGCATCGGCCCATGATGCGCGTGGTTGGACGGAGCAGGATGATGAATGCGGGAGTTCGGTTGGCGGGCGAGTAGCGGACGTCGACTGGGATGCATTGGTGTTCGGTGGCGTAACGTCGGGGCGCGATTGGCACGCGGGTGAGCAGTCCACTAGCGCGGGAGATGATCGGAGCTCGCGGGCGATGGGTGCGACGCGCGAAGACGCGGACGCGGTGGGGTGCGCTGTAGGAGATTTGGGCGCGGGCGGTAGCCGATACGCGCGCGAGCAGGCCAGCGGCAAGGGCGCACGGACGAGAGCGCGCGAGTGGGGCGCACATGCGCAAGGCCTAAACCTTGCGGGCTTAGGAGTGCCGAGCGATGGGGCGCACGCACATGAGGAAGGCGGCGGCAGCTGGCCAAGCGCGTTGGCGCACGATTGGGAGACAGGCGCACGAGGCATAACCCGCACGGGACTAGGCGAGCCCGTGGCAACGGGTGACGCGTGCGAGGCGCGCGCGCGCGAAGCCGCGCGCGATAAGGATTAGGCAACGCGAAAGGGCGGTGCGCGTTGAGGCGGCCAAACAAGTACTTAGGGGCGTGTGATTTGGATTGTTTGGAGTGCAAGCCAAGCAAGATCAAGATCTAGTCAATTTAGGACTCTAGTATATTTAGTTTCCTTCTTGCACAAAAGTATCTAGAATGTTTAGGAATTTAATATTTTATTGTTTTAATATGTTTCCTAGGTAGATTAGAATTAGTCATAGTTAGGATCTATAAATAGGGATGTTTTACCATTGTTTTGAGAGGACCAGAATTGATGAAATAGAAAAGGAACGTTTGTTCAAACTGTGTGTTAGGATTCGT